TCTCCATTTTACCGATGAGATAACCGAATCTTTGAGTGTTAAGTTAACTCATCTGTTTAGATAACTTTTAAGTAGTGTAGTCAGGATTCAAACTCAGGTCTAACTGGCCTAAGTGCATGCTTTTAATAACTACAATTTGCACTGAAACTAAAATGTGCTGACAATTGGAAGCAAATACATTTGTATAAGGTCTTGTTTGATTTATTATTTTATTTTATTTATTTCTGAGACAGAGTCTCATTCTGTAGCCCAGGCTGGAGTGCAGTGGCAGGACCACAGCTCACTGCAGCCTTGACCTCCCAGACTCAAGAGATCCTCTCACTTCAGCCTCCTGAGTAGCTGGGATCACAGGTGCTTGCCACCACACCCAGTTAATTTTTGTTTGTTTGTTTGTTTTTTGTAGAGATGGAGTTTGGAGTTTTGCCATGTTGCCCAAGCTGGTCTCAAACTCCTGAGCTCAAGTCATCCTGCGTTGGTTTCCCAAAGTGCTGAGATTCCTGGCGTGAGCCACCAAGCCTGGCCTGGCCTTGTTTAATTTAATAGCTTCATCTATTTGTCTCCAACAGAGAATTGGCTCTTTGACCTAATGTGGAAACTTACCTCCCTCTGAATGCTGATGATTATTTCCAGACTTCAGTCGTTTTGTAGCTAGGAGAAATCTTACAGATCACCTGCTTCGAACTTCTTAAGAGTAAAGAAAATAGCCTTCAGAAAAATCCTCGGTGACCCAAGGCACCCCAGCTCTCCTGTCCATTTCCATCATCTCGTGTTCTCTTCTCCAATGCCCAGTTTCCTCACCCTCAGAAACAGGCTTATGAAAGTGAAAACACACAACTCAATGGCATTTTAATGAATATATGCATGTGCATATATGTGTGTGTATACACATATATACACATATATACACATGCATATATATACGTGCATGTATGTATATATATACAAACACACATACATATATGTATAGGATACTTAAGGTACCTGAGTCTTTTGGTCTAAGACTAAATTGCCCAAATATTTTCATATTTATTGGAGTTGCTTTTTACTATCCCTCATACCTCTTACTGTCAGTTACTTGCTCTACTTTTTTTGCTTGCTTTTAGCATTTTTCTTCTCATCCAATTGCTGTTCCTAATAGTGAGAAAACAGACCATCAAGCATGTTCAAGTCATGCTTAATATAAAAATTAACAGACTCTGAATGAATGCTTGAGGAAACGTCAACAGATGAGATGGATGTGTTTTTTTATGTGGCCTTGGTCACTGTGACAACCATAATGAGTGATTGAGACATAAATCTCAGTCATTGAGGCTTATTGAGAGCCAGCTTGAGGACAAGTTACGGATGCCTGTATGGCTTTTTTTCCCAAAGAGGTTCTTAGGAGGTTTAGTATTTATACATTTTCCTTAAAAAAGAGAAGGCAACAGTGAGAGGAACGATTACATACCTGGGAGACTTTCATTAGTGCCCTGTAAGTTTACATTTTACATAAGATAAGGTGAACATTTGAAGAAAAAGGGAATGGAGGGAGCAGACATCCCAGGGAGGAGTGAAGGAATGACTAATCTCATTTTAGCTTTGTTCTGTACTGGGAAGATAAATCATTAATCAACATTACCAATGTGGAGTCTTTCAAAAGGGTCTGTTTAGCCCTTAGGGAAGCAAGCTGAATGGTAGTTAGTGAGGAAGGGCTACAGCGAGGTGTGTCCCACCCCCCATCCCATCATGGCCATGAACTTAGCTTCCAGGCTTTGCCTGGGGTCCCTTTAGCCAAGAGTGGGTCCCTTCAGTCATTTGAGGGCTAGAATTTTCTTTTTCTTTCTTAATTGATTTTAGTTTTTAGAAAGCAGGGTTTTGTTGTTTTGTATGTGTCTTTGTTTTTTTCATTTTTATTGTTGTTGTTTTGTTTTCTTTTGTTTGTTTTTGCCTCATTCTAGGCCATGGCAAGGTTCATGGATAAACCATGTCTGAATAAAGATAGAAACAGCTGAGTGCATGTACATGATCACATTTTCAGTCTAGAACACCAATCCTATTTTTACTTAGAGTTAAAATTTTTTTCTCTTGTGGAAATTATGACTCAGAAAAATGGAATATTTTGAAATACAACCACAGAAATCACTTTTACTTTCCAGCTTCCTATTCTCACTCCTTTCGGATCCAATGAACTGAGAGGGGATGAGACTGTACAAAGAAAATACTGCCACTCATAGCTACGTACCTTAATTCAGCGCCAACCAGAGGTGATTGTTGCCACATCTCTAGGTGCTGAGAAGAAAGTGGGAGTCAGAGAGGTTTCCATGTCCCTCTAATCCAGCCTACTTTAAACCATTAAGCAGATAATGCAAGGATTTAGAGGCTGATATGAGGCAGGACAACGCAGCTTATTCTGCAGAACATTGTGACAGGCCAATCATGAGCAGATAGTAACAAAATAAAAAGTCATGAGAGTATATCTATTTTCATGTTTCTAAACTTAGAGATCTTTATTACATGAGAAGTGAGGTATTTGGTATTTGGTTATTGTTGGGGTCTTTTACAGGCCTGATAAAAGCATTTTTTTTTCTTTTTTCTTTTTTTTTTTGAGACGAAGTCTCACTCTGTCTCCCACGCTGGAGTGCAGTGGTACGATCTTGGCTCACTGCAACCTCTGCCTCTGGGGTTCAGGCAATTCTCCTGCCTCAGCCTCCCAAATAGCTGGGATTACAGGCACCCGCCACCACGCCCAGCTAATTTTTGTATTTTTAGTAGAGACGGGGTTGCACCATGCTGGCCGGCTGGTCTGAAACTCTTGACTACAGGTGATCTGCCCGCCTTGTTCTCCCAAAGTGCTGGGATTACAGGCATGAGCCACTGCACCCAGCCTCATGTTCTTTTTATACTTGAATACTGAGCCAACTGAGAACCATAACCGTAAAGACAGGCACATAGGGGTCACAGCATCGCCCTGATTGCTGATAAAGGTATTATGGAAGAATGTTTGTGCACAAGTCACCATTAATCCTGAAACACAATCCTGAATAGACTTGCTCACCCACTAGGGCAGGCATCTCTACATCAGCAGAGTTGGATGTGGGCTTCTAGCCAAGAGAAAAAGAATGGGCCCTGCAGGACAATTTCTCATTCCCAGCTCTTCTATCTGATAAGTCAGCTCAGCTCCCCTGGAGTAAATTAGGGGACAGAGACAGGCAAGTGGATTAGGGTAATGGTGCTCCTTCCACATGGAAACAAACATGAAGATGGAGAATAAGCATCCCCAGATATCATGGGTGTGCATGGACATTTGGTCTAATATTTGTTGTTCTATATATGTACCAGGCTTTATATATGTTGTGTCGTTTGCCCTTAAAATACTTTACCCCACCCTAGGCCCAATGCAATCCCATGAAGAATGCTATGAAGAAATTTTTACAAGTATTATTATCACCATTTTATGGATCAGAAAACTGAGTCTTAGAGAGGTTATTTAACCTACTCAAAGAACATAGATAATAATTAGAAGATCTAAGAGTCAAATACAAACCTGTGTCTCATTAAAACCCATTCTTTCCACATCTCCAGTTATTTGTCATGGTAATACATCTGTTGATAGTGTGATTACAACATAGTAATACATCCATTGATATCAAGCACATTAGATTTCTTAGTTGAAAACCATTCTAAAGCTGTGTTGATGGAAATTTAATAATTCATTAATATAAAGTTTAGACTGTGTTTTTTTAACTGTTTACGTTGAAATAATTTTAGGCTTACAGAAAAGAAGAAAAGATAACAGAATTCCCTTTACTCAGCTTCCCTTAATGTTAACATCTTATATTAACCATGGCATAATTATCAAAATAAGAAATTAACGTTGGTACAACACTATTAGCTAAACTATATACTTTACTCAAATTTCACCTTGGTTGTCACTGTTGACTGAATTTTTTGAGGGTAGGAACTGTATTGTATGCATTTTCATATCCACAGTGCCCAGTCGAATATCCGGTCTAGAGTTAGTGATAAGTGGTTGTGGAATGAGTAAATGGATGAATGGATTTTAAGTCCCATGCTACCACTTGTGTATGTTTGTGTGTCTCTGCATCTCCCAGGTTTAGAAGCATGTGAGGAAAGTCTATGGCTATGATCTGAATGGATGCATGTTCTTCAAAACTAAATTCCACATTGACTTTGTGAAACACAGTCCTTTAGAATTTTGAGCAATTTGTAAAAGTAAAAGAGAGTGTACTAACGAGATTGAAACAAAGATAAAGGGGAATCTAGTAAATGGGCAGAAGGCTGTGGTGTTACATTCATTTTATTGTATATATATGTGTGTGTGCGTGCATATGTGTGTGTATACATGCATGTGTATGTGTACTTGTGTGCATATATGTGGGTGTACATGTGCATGTGCGGAGTGTATGTGCACATGCATGAGTGTATGTGTGTGAGAGTGTGTATGTGTGTGTATTTGTTTCATAACATACTTCAGTAAGTACCTGGGCAAGAGATGTAATAGTAGTTGGCAATCAGTCCTGGATTTCTAGGCAGGTTTTAGAAATTCACTGTAAAACAAAATCACGGAAATTCTCTTGCTTGAAGAAGCAATTCAAGCAGATGCTTTTAAGGCTCTACTTGCTTTTGCACTGATTTCAGTAGAGATAACATTAATGAAGCATGAATGTGCTATGACAATGATTTCTAAAAACTTGTGAAGTAAACACTCTTTCATCTTAACCTTTATAACCAGGGTACATGAAGTCAGGAGAAAGGCAATATTCAAAGCACAAAATTCCTATTGGTAGCTTAATGGACCCTAAAATGTATGTTTTTCTTGCTGTTTCCTCCATCTGTTTTTAACAGAATTTAAACTATTAATGTGGCAAAAACTAGAAAGGCAAGAATACGGCTTTGTTTTTAGCTGGGCAAAACTGGAATACAAAAGTTTTATGAGAGCTGATTTTCTTTTCAAAAAAGTTCAACTTCATAAAGGTTTTAATTATGTTATTGTTGTTTAGATGGAAGACGTCATAGCACGTATGCAAGACGAAAAAAATGGAATTCCTATTCGTACGGTCAAAAGCTTTCTTTCCAAGATACCTAGCGTCTTCTCTGGTAAGTCTGCATGGAGCACAGCTCTGTTTTCTCCTGTACCTCTTAGATAACTTTAAAAAACTGATTCCAGCTGTTCACTATTGAAACTCTCTCTCTAATCCATTATTCAATAACTACTTATAAAATGCCCGTGGCGCGTTTATCATGTGGAACACTTGAAATGATAGTAAAACGCCAAAAATCATGACCCTGTTCTAGGTTAGTTTGTAAAGACAGAATGAACGAATGTGAAATAAAAAACAGTATTAAAATAAATAAAGACATGTAAAAAACAATGTTATGAAGGTTGTATATGGAAATTAGGAGGGTGAAAAAAATCAATGATTTCTTTTTCCGACTGATGGGGAGTCGGGAAAGGGTTTCTACAGAGCAGTGGTGAGCTGTTTGAAAGATGAGGAAGAGTCGTATTCACTCAAGACCACTGTCACCACCGGCTGTGTTCACCCAACTTGACAGTGACCAAACTGTAGAGACCTTGGGTCAGGTTATGAGGGTCTGTGAAAGCTAGCCAAAAGAATCTAATTCTGATAAAAGGGAAAATACGGAGACATTTAAAATTTTTGGCAGAGGATATTGTGATGAAAGTGCTCGGGATAAACTGGCATTCAGTAAGGGCAACAGCCCTGTGACAAGGGTAAGGCTGTCGCAGGAATAGTTTGGGTGCCCAGGTCCTGATATCCAAGGGCTAAAGGAATAGAGAAGAAAGAGCACGAGGGTTTAGTGAATAACTAGGCATGCAGAATAAAAGACATAGCCCAATGGATTTCGTTTTTGTTGTTGTTGTTGGTTTATTTTAAAATGGGGAGACTGAGAGATAAAAGAATCATTATCCAAAATGGGAAACCTCCACGGGTTTGATTGGCAATGACTAGAGAAACCCAAGACAAAAGGAAGTGTAATAAGCTAAGCATCTGTGCTCTGACTCAGAGCACACAGGAAGCAGTCAAAGTGCCAGTTTTGGGGCCTGGGATGTGCTGGGGCATGGCCTACCACAGCTTAGGGAAGAGGTGAGATCAGACAGCCCGAAGCCTCAGCAGCAAGGAGGGAGACGACGGCGGCTGATGCTGAGTGTGGGTGGGAAGGGTGCTTCATGGGATTCCTGTACAAGGGTTGCAGGCTGCTTCCTCACGACCAGGATCAAGAGAAGATTCATGATCAGGAGGCCGTCAAGCCTGGAAAGAGGGCAGAGATCAGGACAGGAATAACAGGGAAGCAGGCCTCTGCGTTGGGGTTTGAGAGCTGTGTTGCTGTCAGAGAGAAGAGAGGGAGCTTGGAGCTGAGGAGAGCTACTGTGCAATGACATTTTGCTCTAACAAAATGTGTCCTCTTTTTTCCCTGTTACTCCCTCTCACGCCCACTTCGTTCTAGTTTCTTGCTCTTTCTTAATGATGCCTTGTACTTTTTACATCTGTGGCTTCACTCCATTTCTCCTCTCCTCACTGTCCCACTTACAGGCCATTCTGACTGTTAAATTCCATCCATTCTTCAGCAATCAGTTCAGAGAGCTCTTTGGTGAAAACTGTCCCGAACCTTTTGTCTCTGTGCTCTCAAAGACCTTGATTTTTGCGTCTCTTATCGCTCCACTCTGTCTTAGAGTTATTTTGCATATGTCTTATATCCCTAGCTAAACCTTCAGCTCCATTTGGTCAAGGATTCAGAGAGTTAACTCCACATCTAAACACACATGTAAAAATGTTATTCATATATTTATTGATGAGCTAATGAAAGGGATGAACTTATCTTCTTTAGAATTCAGGCAGATAAATGCGCTACATTGCCATCCTGCACTGGGAACTGTGGTCAGTTCAACTGTGTGCGACCTGCTTAGGGGCATTCAGCAATTATGAAAATACATAGGCCAAACAAAAAAGCTTTGCTCATCTGATTAAGCTTGGCTGCAGTTTTGGGATATCTACTCTATTGGAGTCTCAAATTTTTGATCGAGTTCTTCAGATAGCAAATATCTCAACAGCAAGCTGTTGGAAGATTTCTTGGTTGACAACATTAAGATTTTAATTGAAAAATAAGATTGGACATATAGATTGAGAATTAACCTGGGAATCTCTGATAATTGTTTTAATGTTCACTGCTGTAAAATAACAGTGGTAGCTATTAAATAAAGAGAATATCAATGACATTTTTCGCGTTAATGTAATTAGGTCTAAGTAATCATTTTATGTTCCCTGGAAACTCTGCAGGCACGCTGTGTCTCATAGGTTCAATTCACTGCTTTGTCGTGGATTTAGTTGATATATCTAGTATTATGTCTAGCACTTATCAGCTTCTTTATATTCATATTCCCAAATTATAATGTACTCAAGCTCCATCCACTTTACTAGAAGTTTTCAGTCTTTTCTAGTAATATCCCTCCCCAGATATTTCTTATAATCTCTGGGGGTTGTTAATTCCTCTGTTCTTTTGTGGCCCTAGTTGCAACCGACTGGCTGGCTTTCCCAGCTCTTTCAGCTTCTCTCTTCTCTCCCTGAGCATGTTTCATGGTCTGCTGCAGAGCTTCTAATGAAACAAGAAATCCACTGATTTTATTGCCCTTAGTAGAACCAGAAACCAGTTGTGATGAAGGCCTGCCGTATGTGGAAGGAGGGTAGTGCAGTCGTTGCAGACTGGAGTCAATCCTTGCTATGGACTGTTCCACAGGGAAGGAAGGATCTCAAATGTTGTAAATCTAACTTTCTCAAGTTACCCATTTGTGCTCCTTAAAGCCTCATTACTTCCGTGGACCGTTAGTATCAGAATCACTTGGAAACTTACAGGGAGAGAAGAGTGAAAGAATGCAAAATTACAGCCGGATAGTTCCAGTGTTCTATGCCACTGTAGAATGACTATAGTTAACAATAATATATTGTGTAGCTTCAAATAGCTGGGAGGACATTGAACCGTCCTGACAGAAAGAAATGATAAATATTTAAGATAATAGATATGTTAATTGCTCAAAAAGGATAAATGTTTATCATTTCTCAAACACTTTTCATTATTTATCACCATACATGATTTGTTTCTTGTTTTGTGTTTTGAGACAGTCTTGCTCTGTCACCCAGGCTGGAGTGCAGTGGTGCAGACATGGCAGCCTCACCCCCCTGAGCTCAAGCGATCCTCCTGCCTCAACACCCCAAGTTAGCTGGGACCACAGACACATGCCACCATGCCTGGCTGATGTGTAATTTTTTTTTTTTTTTTTTTTTTTTAGTAGACAAGATCTCACCATGTTGCCCAGGCTAGTCTCAAACTCCTAGTCTCCAGCAATCTTCCTGCCTTGGCCTCCCAAAGTGCTGGGATTATAGGCATGAGCCCAGCTATCATACATTATTTGTATCAAAACATCACTATGTATCCCATGAATGTGTACAATTATTATTTGTTAATTTTAAAAGAAAATGTAGTATCTGGACCTACCCCCAGATGTACTAAATGAGAACCTCAATTTGAGCACTGAAGTTTAAGATGTACTGCCTTAAAATGCACCCAGAGAAGCTGGGCAACTCGGGGGAGCATCCTTGTTTTCCTGAGGGCTCTGGGATCAGTGGCCACCTTGCTTGTGCAGATCTTTCTCTTTGAAGGGCTCTAATCATCTCGGCAGTCTGGCCTCAATCAAGGCCACCTCAGTCTATCTAATGGCTTTAAAAAAAATTTTACTTGGGAAGGAAAAAGCGGTTAGGAAGAATAACCTAGTTCTTTCTCCTTCCTTTACTCCCAAACTGACAGTCTCTGTTGCCCCTAAGATTGATAGGTGTCAACAGCTTTGTGGCGGAATGAACACTACTCAGTTCCACCAGACAACTCCAATGCTTCAAAGGAAAACATCGGTCGTGGTGGCCAAGTAATGCCCATATCCACCTCAAGTGAAAACAGCTGTGTTGACAAAGTGATGATATAATCCAATTCCCCCTGTAACATCTGCAATCCAGACCCAGAATCATGTCAAAGAATGCTATGACAAATATAATCTATCTAATAATAGGGTTTGTGTTTTGTTTTTCCTGCTAAATGCATTTTGTCCAGTGAACCATCTAAGACTTTTCTCTTTGTATTTGTTTGTTTGTTTGTTTTTTGTTTGTTTGTTTGGTCTTAAAGTTGTTGATTTCAACCTCCTGGTTTCCATAGTCCCAAGACCATGGGACAATATCTTTGGATAATTCCTCTATGCCAGTTCCTTGAACTCTGAGATGAGAAATGTCCTTGAGTGGATCCAATCACAGCATTGCCTTTTTCTCCAGAAGTGCCTTCTCAGCTGCAGAGATAGCTCAGGCAGCTGCACAGGTCGTATGTGACCTGGTGTCTCAGGGCCAGGGAGTAAAATCAGTGGTGTACGTACACTGTAGAACTTGGCTAACAGCTCTCTTCCCTGGGATTCTGTTGAGATTCCCAGAACTTTGGTGAAGTGTGTGTGTGACTATGTGTGTGTGTGTGTGTGTGTGTATGTGTGTCTGGCACTGAGGCAATGTAAACCTAGAGGCTGGGTGATGACCCTGTGCAGAGAGCAGCAAAGGAAGCCTGTCTGCAGTTGAGAACAGTGAAACATGTAAGGAAGGAGAAGCAGAGAAGATGAGGCAGAGAGTGCTGGGTTACTGGTAGCTTTGCAGCTCTTGCCTCAGTCCACAGGCACAGTCCTGCTTTGCAGCTCTTGCCTCAGTCCACAGGCACAGTCCTGCAATCTCCACAAACTTCCTTCTGGTTTCTTCATCTCCTTCAATCTTCCACAGTAAAACATCGACCTTTTGTTTCACTATGTTTTCAACTTCGACTTCCCTTTTCTAGTTTAAACTTTTCCCATCTCTGTATTTTTTCTAATTATACCTAGGAGTCATCCCCCATAGCACATGTATTGGACACAAAGTACTTATGGTTGCAAAAAAAAAAAAAAAAAAAAAGGAGTGTACATAAAAAATGTTATAAAAGGAGAATATTTGGGATTGATCAATGCCGCTCTGGAGTATGGCTGCAACAAATGCACTGGGTAAGGTCTTAGGAATGCAGATTTCAAACGCAAACCACAGCTATTCTAACTCATTAGTGCTGAGATGGAACCATGGAATCTATAATTTTTGTTTTTATTTTACTTTATTTTATTTCTTTTTTCCCCTTGATTAAATATTAAGCTCAGATTATAGAAATATGTATTTTTAAGCTGATTTTAAAAATATAGGATTGGTGTCTGCTGGTCTCAGATGCATGCTAACTACGTTTTTCTTTATATTTTTAATTCAATTCGATGAACATTGATCAAATACTCACTATGTTCCGGTAACTATACTGGGTTTTGTGGGCTAGTATTTTACCGTTGCTGGGGAAATAGATTACATGTACATTAGCAATAAATGTTTAACTTGTATGAGGAACCAAGATAAGTTCCTTTAGCAGAGGTTTAAAAAGTCAGTTGTAGGATCACAACTGTTTAAAGGCTATCACTTTGTAATCTCATCTTCAACAAAGAACTTGAATTGTCTGTCCTTAACTACCACAAAAAATACTTTTAAGAAGTTTGAGTGTAACGGTATCAAAACCTTTAGAGCAGGCAGATAGATATTATTTGTCTCTTATTTTGTGATTTCTGCGAAATTGTACTAAAAGACATTTCCTTCATGTTCTCTAAGTTTCTAATGAAAAACATAATAAAATAAATGTATTTTTATAATAAACTACGAAAAAATTATGTCTTTGAAGATTCGTTTTTAAAAACAATAATATATAACCTGTATTTTCCTTTTCTTTTTTTCTGTAGTTGCCAAGAAGTTCACTGCTAAATTTAATGTTCCATTCTTTCTCTTTCTCATGTGATTCATCACTGGCATATCTACCTTTCTTTGTCTTCTCATTGTTTTTTTTTTCTATCTTTTATCGTTGTTCTTTTAAGTTTGTTGGGGGCTATATTGTAAATTGCTTCAAGTTATATTTTGAAGGCAGGTAAGGAATAAATCCTGAAGAGACATCTGAGAAGTGTCTACTTTGTGGTAAGCAGTGGTTTTGCCTGGAATCCGCCCCATTCAAGTGGGGATACATCTTGGCTTTGAACAAGTGCTCTACCACAATAGAAAATAAAAGATGAAGTTCAAATATTATTCCATGAGAGTTTCATGAAAGTGCTCAGTCACTGTTAACACCATTATGTCTTCAAATTGAAAAAAATAACTATATAGCTAAAAATATATTTGCAGATTTTGCTGAAGATTTTCTGTAAATGAAATCCATAAGTCTTATTCTCGCATGATAGCTCTTTCCCTGGAATTCATGTCCTGTAACTTATAATGTTTATTCATTCATTCTCTCATCTGAAAATCTTTGTTAAAGCAAACTATGACACTCATACCAGCTAAAAATCCTTTGTACTTAAAACTCCAAATTTTAGAAGAATAGAGATCCAAATCCAGATGAAGCATAAAAGTTTATGAATAAAAGAGGAAATGATCAATTTTACATTTGTAAGATAGTTGCTCCATTTGTGATACTGTTTTAAACTATACCGTTTACCTTGGCTACAGGCATATTTGAATGAATTAAACTGATAACATAGGTTTTCAGTTGCTTCACAAGATACTGAAATAGTGCATGGTTTCTTGTGTGCTCTATTCTAGAAAATATATTACATTGTAATAATATCAGATACTATTTGGATATAGATGTTTTGATTCATAATCATGTGTGCTTTATAAATTTTAGATGCATTACATAATAAACAGGCTTTAAATCCTGATGACTGGAATAATTGCTTTTTTAATATTTTAAACAATATTTTAATGTTTCCAAATAGTTTCAATGAGCCCTTGAGAATTTTTTAAATAATACAGTTGGTTTTTTGGTTTGTTTGTTTGAGGCAGAGTCTCATTCTGTCATTCAACCTGGAGCACAGTGGTACAGTCATGGCTCACTCCAGCCTCAAATTCCTGGTCTCAAGCAATCTTCCTACCTCAGCCTCCCAAGTAGCTGGGACTACAGGCGCCTGCCACCATGCCCGGCTAGTTTTTTGTATTTAGTAGAGATGGAGTTTCACCGTGTTAGCCAGGATGGTCTCGATTTCCCGACCTTGTGATCTGCCTGCCTCGGCCTCCCAAAGTGCTGGGATTACAGGCCTGAGCCACCGCGCCCGGCCAGCTTTATTATTTTGATGACATCTATTATTTTTTCTTTACTTTGGAGGAAAATATTAGTAATTTGGAAACCTACTATGTGGTTAGTGGCTTTAAATGCATTAGTTTTGTTCCTTTCAACACTTCAAGATAATCATTGTTTTTCTCCATTTCCTAGAGAAGGTAATAGAGGGTCAGAGAGTTCAAGCCTTTGGGCCCCATTTTGAACAGTTTACTAATATGTAAACCACAGTGGGTCTGAGGCAAAATCCCATTCTGTTTCTCACCACCCCATGGGTAACCCCCTGTTGGTTGTCCTTCACATAATGTCCTGTGTTGTTTCGTTATGACAAGCACACATATGTCAGAATTGGTAGGATTCTGGGTACCTAGGACTCTTACATTCATCTCCCAACATACTCCTGTTCCAGATGTAGCCCTATGGAGTACTCATCAAAACCACCTGAGCTTTTGTCTTCGTTTTACCTCTAAGGAGCTGTGTGACCCTGAGTAACCCAGTATAGTTTTTTTCACCTGTAAAATTTGGAGATTATATCTGATGATCTCCAAGTTTGCTGTCTGCATAAATTCTATAATTCAGAGAACCCAGTGAAGGAGAAAGAGTGGAAGAACAATTAATAGGATAAGATAATAATAAGCTAGACTATTTACAAGGTAATTGAAATAGCAACACATCAATGGAAATCTCACTCTACTTTTTTTTCTCAAGGCAATGCCATCCGTCTCATGGCTTAAATTAAATATTTCTAAATGTATGTTACTAATTCAGACCGTTTCTCTGAACTCCAGTAAATTCAACTTTGTATACAGTGTTTTCGCTTGGATATCTCAAAGAAGTCTCAAACTAGACATGTCCAAGATGAGAGTCATTGTCTTACCCTCAGCCCCTTCCCTGTTTTCTGCCTCAGTAAAAATTGCACATGCCAGAAATGCTGGGGTCACCTTGACTCTTCTTATCCCCGTCTTCTCATATCTGCTCCACCCACCAGTGCTGTCAGCTTAGCTTGGACCATGTATGCTTGTATTTTTCTACTGCAAAATATTATCTCCACTCACCTGAACTATCTCATTAATTCCTAACTAGTCTTTGCATTCACTCTGCACCTCATCCTGTCTTTCTCCAAAGGGCAGCCACGCTACTATTTTCAAATTGCAAATCTGTCCAATTAAAATCCATCTTTGATGTTAAGATTAAGACCAAAATTCCAAACAAGATCCCTATGGAAGAAAAAAATCTTTCCTCTTCTTTTTTTTTTGAGATGGAGTCTCGCTCTGTCGCCCAGGCTGGAGTGCAGTGGCGCGATCTCGGCTCACTGCAAGCTCCACCTCCCGGGTTCACGCCACTCTCCTGCCTCAGCCTCCTGAGTAGCTGGGACTACAGGCGCCCAGCTAATTTTTTGTATTTTTAGTAAAGACAGGGTTTCACCATGTTAGCCAGGATGGTCTCGATCTCCTGACATTGTGATCTGCCCACCTCAGCCTCCCAGAGTGCTCCTGTTCTCTCTTATGGTCTGTTTGTGGTTCTTACTAATTAAGACAACACAAGACAGATTAACAGGAGAAACACATACACATTTTCAGAGGGATATGCTGAAGGTATTAGTATCAGGGTGGAAGTTTAGTTATTATATTTGTTATACAAAATGGAGGATTACTTTAGTTGGAGGGTCTTAAGATTTTTAGGAAAATTACATCAGTCGAGGGGTAACTGTTGGGGTGTTCATAGTTAAAATATGATTTCTGGGCTCTAACTGGGTTTCATTTTAGTCTCTGGTTTCTGGGGTTTGGCAAGGGTACGTTTACCTATGTCCTGCTTTTAGGCAGAAAAGGGAAAGGTGGAGAGCCCTTCATGCATTTTCTGTTTCTCAATTGCCTTTACCTCAGAGTAATCAATATGCCAAAATGGTATATTTTTTGGTGGCATGTTCTGATCCTCTTCACCCTTAAGTAGCATCCTGGATCAGTCCCTCCCTGCCTCTCAGACCTCATCTGGTATAACTTCCTCTCTTGCTCTCTTGATTCTAGCTATAGCAGTCACTTTTCCATGGCCACTCTGGTCATGGAGACTTTTCACTGCTCTGCTTTTTCCTCCATCTAAAATGCTTTCCCTCCTTTTCCCCTATGTCCAGTTGAGACCCACTCACCTCAGGTCTAAGTCAGTTTCTATATAAATAAATAAATATATATACTATATATACTATACTTACGATCGAGGAGAGACGGAGAGAGAGAGAGCATGCGCATCCTTGCTCTGTGGCCCACAGCGCGCGATCTCAGCTCACTGCAACTTCCGCCTCCCGGGTTCAAGCGATTCTCCTGCCTCAGCATCCTGAGTAGCTGGGATTACAGGCACCTGCCACCACATCCAGCTAATTTTTGTATTTTTAGTAGAGACGGGGTTTTGCCATGTTGCCCGGGCTGATCTCAAACTCCTGACCTCAAGTGATCTGCCCACTTCAGCCTCCCAAAGTGCTGGGATTACAGGCGTGAGCCACCACACCCAGCCTCTTATATGGTTTTATAAAACCACACTCTTCTCTTTCAGACTATTTCCCTCCATTTTATAATTACAAACTCATGAACAGTATTATGTGATTAATCGCCTTCCAGATGATAGTGTAAACTACAGGAAACTTCCACGTACCCACTCTGCTAACCCCAGCACCACAAAGAGCATTTAACATTGGAGGAGTTCATTAATATTCGTTAGATGGGTGAATAATAATTATGCTTTTTAGAAGGAATATTTGCATTCATATGGTCACTGTTGTGATTGTATGGCTTTATC